CCTTTTCTCTAATTGGAAATAGGCTTCCTCTATGTGGCTCAGAGAGTGGCCACCAGTAGCCTGAGATTCACAAATCCATAGCTAAACACCTTAATAAAAAGACCTCTTTCCTCATATCTGCCTGTCAATTCCAGGAAATACTTCATTTATTATCTCCCACTTGGGTCCCACCTCACTGACACGATGGTGCACCATGATTAACAGCACCATCTAGACCCCATGGAATGGGGTAGAATCCTCCAGAGAAAATGTAGCATTGTGCTAGAACAAGGGTTGGCAAACTTTCCTGTAAAGGGTCTGATAATAAATATATTAGGCTTTATGGCTACTTAAAATCACTGCTTCATATTCTTGGTCTTCTCCTACCAAGTCTCCTTAGTACCACACTGAGGAAAAAGTAGAATTAAAATTGAGCAGAAAAGGATGGTAGGGACGAAGAAAAAGGGAATGAAGAAAAATGGGTGAGGGTAAATTGGAACATTATTTCAGAAAGTATTTAAGGACATATTTTTTATTACAAAATAACAAAACAGAAGGAGTTCTAGAGATGTGAAGCTAGAAAAACTATCCTTTACAAAAGTAAAAGTAAAATTCATTTCACTTAAATATGAGCAACAGGAAAAGACCATGGTCAAAGTTCATACAAAGTTTTGATAAGATAGAATAAGGAGCACAGTAACATTCTTTTAGACAGTGAAAGCACATGCTCACAAAGAGATGAAAACTGTATAACCTATTTAAAATAAGCTAAAATGAAATAATAAAACCTATGAAAGAAGAACATAGAGAAACTCACAAATGAGGTGTTTGGAAAATAGAAATATTTGAAAATAAAGGTGACAAAACTACCTCAGACAAGAATTAGAAAATTTAAAAATCACTTCAGAAATGGTTACACTATATTGAATATAAGAGCAAATACATTTAATTTATTTTTTAAATGATTAAAAGGAGGAAACTTTTGAGAATAAAAAAAGAAATGAAGAGAGAGGATTTGAGAGAAAATAGATTTAAAGGATATTTAAGGAAGATCAAACATATGTATAATAGGAGTTCCTGAAAAAGAGAACCAATCCATTGAATAGAGCAAATCCTAAAAACTATAATTCAAGAAAAACCTACCATAAAAATAGACCTCAAAAACTACATCTTGAAAGGATACAGTGTATGTGAGGGAAAATGACTCAGAATAGACTACACTAAAACATTCTTGTAAAGTTATTGGAATTTAAAAATAAAATGTTTTTAATATTTTCATAAAAGGATCAAAAAACAGTTCTTAGAGAAAGCAAAATAAATTACCACATATTTTTTATAGCAATGGTTTATGCTAGGAGAGAAAACATGAATCAAAGACTCTATCTAATCAAACTGACACACAGTTATAAAGGCTTTAGGCAAAATATTTGAAGATGTGTGAATTCAGGAAATATTTGAAGATCTTTCCTGAGGAACCCTACTAAAGAACTATTTTCAGACAGCAAAATGATTGAAGAGATTGACATAAAGCCTAGTAGTATTAAACATCTGGAGAACTAGATCTAGATTGAAGATTATAAAGGTACTAGAGGCCCGGTGCACAAAATTTGTGCACTTGGAGGGGTGTCCCCTCAGCCCGGCCTGCGCCCTCTTGCAGTCTGGGAGCCCTTGGGGAATGTCAGACTGATGGCTTAGGCCTGCTCCCTGTAGGCCTAAGCCGGCAGTCGGACATCCTTAGCGCTGCCACGGAGGCAGGAGAGGCTCCTGCCACCACTGCTGCACTCAGCAGCCGTGAACCTAGCTCAGGACTTCTGGCTGAGCAGTGTTCCTCCTGTGGGAGCACACTGGCCACCAAGGGGCAGCTCCTGCATTGAGCGTCTGCCTCCTGGTGGTCAGTATGCGTCATAGCAACGTTGTTCCACTGTTCAATTGATTTGCATATTAGCCTTTTATTATATAGGAGGATATGTGTAAGTATGGTGTGTGATGGCTGTGTGTTTTAATAGTCTAATAGAGTGCAACTATCAAAAACTGGGGGAAAACAGGATGAGTATATGAAAAATAGATTAAGTCTACCAGACCTGAGGCCCTGAACCTAACTGTCCCCTATACCTGGGCTCCTGAGCATTAAAGAGAAAAAACCAACATGATATAGAAAAATGTTAGTTACATGCAAACAAGTGGTTAGAATAAGATGGAACTTGGAGACATTGTAGAAAATAGGTCTACCTTTCATCTACCTTTCATCTAGCGCCAATATTCCACCTTTGTGTGGAAATTACCTAAAAATCGGTACAGCGGTCTGGTTGCCTTTATAGGTATTACCTGGGAATAAAACAATATTATTTCAAATTAGATGCTGAAGGAGAAGGAAGGACGAGAGATAAGAGCTTACTAGATAAATTTAATATTGCTCATGGTAGAAACTAATAACAGTAAAAAATGAGAGCCCTGGTGCATAGGATGCCACTCCAACCATCTGAGCCACACTAGCCAGGCCAGGGTGGCAATGACTTATTGGTATTGTTCCTAATTTGGTCTGCCCAGAGCTACAGCAACTTTCCTTGCATTGCCCTAGTGATGTGGGGATGGGTTTATTACTGATCACTGGTTCATCATCATTCTGAGGGTAGTCCTTTGGGAAGAGGGGTGCTTTATAGCAGGAGGATTTTTTTATTTGTTTACCATGTCTTGTCAGGCCTTAAAAAAATTAAAGGTCAGAGTCCCCAAATTTGGTAAATGTCCAGGACAAAAGCAGCTGCAGTGATTGGTTCTCACTTCAATCCCATTTTCACTTGGATTTTGACCCGGTAATTTCTTACTGTCCTGTTAGTTCAATACTTTTAAAATTTAATTTTTGTTTTCAGTAGGTAGGAACATGGTCAGAATTACCTAGCCTGCTTACGTATCTGAAAATAGAAATCTTCTCATAAAACTACATAGACATTTTTTTGTCAAAAGTTTGATATTGCTGGACTGCACAGAAGATTCCTGGAATTTCTTTAACCTTCTCACAGCACATGGTCAGATTTCTTAATTTTACTTCCTAAGTTTCCATTTCTCCATCTGTAAAAAATGCCATTTAGAATAGCCATCAATTTTGGGATCCTTATCAATGAATTCCATAGAACCTCTTGAGAGTTGAATTAAAATTATATTTATTTATATTGCCTTATTTCAAAAACCGTTTAAGGCGATTAAAATCTTAAAATTCCCAAGAGCACCACTAGAAGCTCATTCAAGTAGAGAGGGAAGAGCATTTGAAAGCATGAATTCGAATCTGCTCTGCAGTTACCTAGAGTTCTTTGTGGTCTGTGGAACAGCCCCTTTAAGTATTATGCAAATTGTTTTATTTGTTAATGAGAATTGATCTGTGAAGAGGGTACATAGCTTTAAGCAAATTCTCAGAGGTCTAAGACTGAAGGAAAGTTATGAACCACTGAACTACATACAAGGCAATCTTAGGCAAATAATTTGTCTTTCTACCTTAGTTTTCTAATCTATATTTTGAAGAAACAACCTTCATGAATTTACTGTAAGGATTTTTCAAAAAGATAATATGTGAACATACTTTGAAAGTTATCTATCTCTAAACACACTTAGTAAAATGTTCTACCCTTCTGAAATACTTACTAAAATGTTCAGGATATATTATAGAGGGTATCAAAACATGTTTGTCTTAAGGACATTTTATTAACAAACATTTGACTGTCTATTCTGTGCTGAATTCAGGGGACACAGATGAATAAAACACCATCCTTTGCTGCCTTATATAGGACACAAACCCATGGGCTGTGAGTGCTGTTTTATAAATACACTCAGTACCTATGGAGGCCAGAGGAAGGGCATGTGGGGTGGGGATAGCAGAGTGAGCCTGCAGAATGCTTCTTGGAGGTGTCATCACAATGAGCTACCAAAGGCAGGCATTCTGGCTGAGGGGTCAGCATAAGCAAAGGCAGAGAAATGAGAAAATGGTAGTGTGTCTGTGTGCATGTGTGTAGATGAGGCAGAGCAAGTCAGTGATGCTGGCACAGAAAATGAAGGACAAGACACGAGGCTGTCTGTGCTGCATGGGCCGGATCAGGGAGGTTTGTGTAGGTTAGGCTGGATTCTGAGCGTCAGCCAGTCGGCTAAGAGGAGGAGCACCAAATTCTTTAAGCAGGGCACTGAAATGACTAGATTTTGCTACAATACTCTGGTAGCAGAGTGGGAGGGAGAGGGGGCTGAGGATAGGAAATCTACTTACTTTAAATATTGCTTCACAAAGAGATTAGTGAGCCTGAAATGGGGGCTGGAGAGAAATAGGATATAACATTATTTAGTAGGTAAATCAATAGAACTGTGAAGTTGATTACATGTGTGGGGTAATGGAGAGGGAAGTCTCACCTCAGCGGGTGGTCAACCCCTTCTCCCCCCACCCCCCCAATGAGGCAGACAATCAGGAGGAATATGATGTTTGGATCTGTTGCATTTGAGTAGGTATCTGGATGGCAATGTATCGCAGACAGGTAGGGAAATTCAGAGGTCTGGGCTAGAGATCTGAATGGGTGGAGGCTAGTCCATAGGTGAGTGCCCCAGACCATGTGTATACAGAGCTACCTAGTATCCTCATTTAAATGTTTCAAGGGCACTTTAAATCTTAGTATAGGAATTGTGCTCTTTCTCTCCCCGCAAAGCTGGTCTCCTTCTAGTGTTCTCTCTTAGTAAGAGGCATTACCATTCATATACTAGTAGTTGCACAAAGTAAAATATAGGAGTCATATTTGACACTTCTCCCTCTCATTCTCTAATTATTTGAACTGAAGGAATACCTTAAAAAGGCAAGTCTGGAAATATGCCATTATTGGAAGCACACAGTCAAGTTTAACATTTCACTAATAGAGCTAAACTTTATTTCGATGTTTATGAAATGTTTATCTATGATGCTGAATACATATATTAGAATTGACTTAACATACAGCTTTGGAGAAAAACTGACATTCTCCACTGAATGGGTTAAAAAGGAATGTAAAACTACAAAATACTTGTTTAAGTGTTTAATTCTAAATTATGGCAAACAGAACAATAAATACCTTGCCATTTTTCCTTTTTCTAGTTTCCCAAATGGTAAAATATTTTTTATAACAGTTTATTGCAATAAAGGAAATAAGGGATAATCACGAAAACCACTTTAACTATATAGTACAAATAAAGAGACTTAATACAGAACACCTATCTTCTATTTAAAATACAAATACTTTATATTATGAATTGAGAGGGATTAACCGATGTCAGCTGCACATCTAATGACTTAAGGAAAGCCATACATGCCTCTTGCTTTTGTCTGGAACAGTTAGGCTGATTTAAAGGGCAACACAGCAGAGTTCTATCTGGTACCTATGCTAACCATTGTTATTCAGAGTGGTGCTTATTGATGGAAATTCAGGGTTAGTCAGTTCCAAATGAGTAAGAGTGAACAGAATTAATCATCCCACCCCGCAATCTATGGCCATATCCAAATGTACAGATTTTAGCATTCTCTGAAAGTCTTAAAATTCCTCTAGATACTCTGAAATTGCTGATATTCACAGTACAAAAAAAATATTGCCTTTAGTTCAATTCCAGTGTTTAAACAAATTAAATCAAACTTACAGGTGGTATCAGTTATTTGTAATATAGTTCTTTTAATTCTTTATAAGCCCCTTAGAGCACATTTTGTGAAAAGATGCGTTCTTTTTAATACTACTAATCTTTACTTAGATACATTTAAAAATCATCTTAAAATTATTTTCTACCAGAAATTACAGGATGAAAACTTTTACTGAAAGTGAATAAAACTTATTATTCTCTTTAACAAGTGTTTAGAATCATCTGCAAAAACCTATATTTTTAATGTTATAAAAGATGTTTAATAAAGGTAACTCACCTCTCATTAGATTATTTTAAGAAAATACTAATAAAATACTTTCTCATGTAATTGTTCAGGAAGAAGATTTATGGCTTTTCAATTTTTAAAATTTCACATTTAATCAGATTCTTAAATGAGAAAAGAAAGGATGAGAAACAAACTCCATTATCAACTTAACCTCCTACCTTCCCTGAAGTCAACATTTCTCTTAAAATTGAAGGCACAGTCCTAAAGGGCCAGATTAACATTTCAGGTTTCTGGGCCATGTGGTCACTATTGCAACTACTCAATTTCTGCTGCTGTCTGGGAAGGCAGCCATAGACAAGATGTTATTTAACAACAACAACAAAGCAGTCCAAATGTGGCCTGTGGGCCTTAGTTGTCAACCTCTCGCTGCCTTAAAAGAGCAGACCTAAATATAAACAAATCATCTACAAAACAAAAAAAAACCACCAAAACAAATGGTCGGTCTCCAGTCAGATGTGACGACTGACTCAGAGTCTGGCAGTTAATCACTCTAGAACAGTGGTTCTCAACCTTCCTAATGCTGCGACCCTTTAATACAGTTCCTCATGTTGTGGTGACCCCCAATTTCATTGTTACAAATTGAACATAATTAAAACATAGTGATTAATCACAAAAACAATATGTAATTATATGTGTTTTCCGGTGGTCTTAGGCGACCCTTGTGAAAGGGTCGTTCGACCCCCAGGTTGAGAACCGCTGCTCTATAACATGTTGATGCTGAATACTTTGAATTTAGCCCATTTTCTTGTTTTGGTTAAGGTTCTTCTATTTAAACGCATGTCATCATGCTTTTGACTGGGGATAATTCATCTTCATTTAAGAACTTGCTGGAATATTATTTATTTAGGAATTCAGTTTAAAATAAATGATGTCCATACAATTTAATATTCAATTTAATTTTTAAAAAACTTAATGAAAATATAACAGAATCAAAAAGTTTAAAATAAGTACACTCACTACCCATTCCAGTATTAAGTCATATCAACTATAGAATAGGAAAAATAAATTCAGACGTGTAATTACTTTAAAATACACTACTTCCACTTTTGTCAATATTTCACATTTATGTATATATTCTATAGCGGAAGCAGAAATCCTTTCTAAAAACATTATCTCCTTAAAATCTTGAGGTGCATATTATAGCCACAGGCAATATCTGACATATAAAACTGCAGTACAGGCCTTTCAAATTTGGCATTTCACTGGTACAATACAATGACCAATATATATAATCACTGTACAGTGCCTAGACATTCCAGTAAGAACCATTATTTTCTTTAATGTAGAATGATTAATATATATTCTACAAGGGGCAGTGAGGTTAGTATTTCTATAGGGTGTGTCCCGACATAATTTTAAAATTGTACAATAACACAAACAACTTTGTTAAGGCCATGTTTTATTTGCTGATTAATGGACAAAAGGCAATGTAATTTATCTTCAAGTATTTTCTTGAAAGTCTGTGCTCATAAAAATCATGAAAAGTTGGAAAGACTGTTAAATCACTGAAACATTAAATATATTGTACACAATCTTGTTTGTACAAAAATACAAGTTAAATATAAACATAAAGCAATCATGACAACTTTATGCAAATCTGTTTTATGTGATCTTTAGTTATATATAAAAGTTTCTCAGTTCTGTTGAGAAAAGATCAATACCAGATTAAATTACTATCTATTGGCAAAGGGCCCTAAAAAGCTTACTTTAGCATTAATCTTTTATGTGGTCAAGTGCATTGCCTAATTAAAATCACCTAAACACTGGGGAGAAAAAAGAAAGGCAGTATGTCCATAAACCAACAAATAATTTGGCTGTAATGTATCATAAAACAAAGAAACCCCACACATCTGTACAATGAACATTATGTATCACACACTCACCCACACCGGTGTATAGGTGCGTACATGTACACGCACACACAGAGGCAAGGACACACACCCAGTCATAAAACAAAGCCTAGTGAGGTGCTACTTCCAGTTCAATATTCAGCTTTGCATTTTTTCTTACTTCATCAAATGAATAGCTTTTTGTCACCTTCCCATTCTTGAAGACAGTATGGAGAAGATCCTGCACAAATTTAACAATACTAAAGTTTAATGATTATACTCTCAAGCAAAATACTTAAGCCATGCTCATGAATTAGACTGACTAGTCAAATACAGAGATGTTGATGGTGTTCAATTATGAAATAATTTTATACACAGAGGATGCTGGTGGAGCAGTCAGACAGCAAGGCACTATCTAAAATGGCTACGTAGAAATATTTAACTTTTATGAAAAGGAATGATCTAAATATTACATTCTTAAAAAAGTTGACCTTGAAGGATAAACCAAAACACTTAGTTGCCCCATTTTTTTTTTCAGGTGGAAGATGCATTGCCTAGAATGATGGCTGTTGATAAATACCACTGACAGTGCAACAAAGGAAACCAAAAACCTTCCCTTGTTCCTACCCAACAAGCTCAACACCAGGTTAATAAATGCATAAGCTTGGAGTTTAATAAAAACAAAAACTATTATTTCTTAGCTAATGCACAGTGACTGATTTTTATTTTGTGTATATCCAAAAGTCACTTATACAAGTAACTATTTGATCCCAGCAAGGGTAGCAAAGATAGACTAAGAAATCAGTACTAAATTCCCTTTTTAGTCTGGGAAAGCCACTCCTTCTCACTAAGGAATTATCTATCTCTAATTTCTCTTTTAAAAATCTGTAAGTAATCTACCATGCTTAACTTTTCCATCTATTCTTAAGATTGTGATACATCATAACATTATTTATATTTTCGTGATATGTAACATTATCTAATATTTTCATCATTATGTTGTTTCAAATCACACTGCTCTAGTTGTATCTTTCATAAAGTTAAACAATCTATTAAGAAATGGTGGTTCTTCTTCTTAAATCAAAATGCTTAATTTTAAGTTAATTACTACCTTAAATGTTCTAGAATATAATTCACATACTCTTAATCAATGCCTTTTAAAAAATAAGTTATGATGATGCCTTTAAAAAAATAAGTTATGACTGTCTACAGTAATTCAGCAAAGTCCTGGTAGCTATAAGAGTTAAGTGAAGGCTACTCAAAGGACAGTATTAACAGGCTATATAAAGGAATCTAATTCTAAAAGTTTGTTTAGAAACATATTTTTTTAATTAAAGGTAACAAAATGTTTTTTCATTCTGGCTCAAAATCATAAAAGTAACAAGCAGAGTATCAGATATGGTATAATGAATCTCAAGTACTAAATTAGTGTGCTTATATTTAATATAAACTTTTCTGTGAAAATATAAGTATTCATTAGTAGTTTCCCTAAAAAAATGAGTATGTTTTTAATCCAGTGGGTTAAGAATTAGAAATTTTATAACTTTTGAGTTCACAAATTTAAATGTACTTTTGTATGTTAAAGATCATATGGACTCCTTTAGCATAAGCATACTACACATTTTTCCTATTTGGTTGACCTGAATCAAAAAAACTTGGTTAAGGCTAGGTTTCACCATTTATTCGTTATGTAATCTGAATCAAGTCATGTAGTTTTCACATTTTACACTACTAAGATAACATAATTTGCCTTTTTAGCCCATGGAGTTGCCCTGAGAATCAAATGAGACTAAAGAAAACCATCTAAATTGGATTCTATTATTTTTTAAAATGGGATTATCTTTAGCATTTTAGAATTTGGATAAAATAAAAGCCCTTCTTTTTTCTGTTAAAATGACCAAAGTTTACTATAATATAAATAGCTATGAGAAGTGTAATAATAATATCCTTAAAGTATTCTTAATACGCCTCTTCAGAAAAAATTGACTGCTAATTGACAGTAAGAGTAAGATAAAAAACACAGCTTGTTGAAGCTCAGCAGTAACTACCCTGCTGGTCACTATTTGGAAACACTTTTACTTTTTAAATGTTACAAAATATTTCACCCAATATGTACAAGTCTCATATTTATGATCTAGCCACTTTTTGTTTTTCGTCTTATTTTGGTAGGATCAGTCAACTATTGTTTATTTTACAATAAAACTACTTTGTCCTCCAAGAAAAAACTGTTCTGATAATTTAAAATTAAACTACAACATAAAAGCCTCCTTTCTTAATTAGGCGAGCCAAGCTACTACTGGTAAAAGGAAAACAGAAAAAAAAAGGGGGGGTGCAAAATAAATCCAATCAGCATAGATACATACATGACCATATTCCTCAAGGTCTCCTTTTCCTTCCTCAAGTGTAACAAAATTTCCTGCTGGTGTTTTATGTAAAGATAATCGACCTTTCTTGGACCTTTTGTTGGGATCAGCAACTGGGTCCTTGAAGACATTAACCTTGAATCCAAATTCAGAAAGAAAAAAGATTAATCGTCAGAAATGGTCATTCAATTCCTATTAAAAAATAACCCTACATACATAATTTGCAAATAAATTTTAAGGCAATTTTTAGGTAAATGAAACCAATCCACACCAGGCTTTTAGAAACATAATTCTAGCCTGTTTTGGAGGACAGAGTGAGTTCTTTGTTAGGAAAAAAGCAAAATCCAAATCTTGACTATTTTTTCTTACCAATGCAGAATACCTAATACTCCTTTTGTAGGAAATATCTGATGTTAACATGTGATCCTTAAGGTATCTCCTTTTATATCACACCTTATCTTTATACTGATCTAAGTATAGCACAGACATGCTATTGAAAAACAAATCTATGTCAACTCAATTATATAATATGTGGCTCCAGAACTAGGATTTTACTAAGTATGGCTTTCCTATTTCATAACCTTTACATTTTGTTACTTTTTACTCTATTATATTGTTACTGTCAGAAACAAAAATGATCTAGAGAACCTCAAGAGCAGAATGTTTGTTTCAGGATCAGAAAGGTAGGAGGCAAAACCTAAGAAGCAGATGGGTCAATCCCATAACTCTCCAAAGAAAGATGGAGGTAAATAAAGCAGGGGACCTAACCAGGTGTTCTTAGGAGAGTATTCTCCACCCTTACCCTTTGACCCACAGACTCTCAAGAGCTATGAAGCCTAGGGCAGTGGCCGGCAAACTGTGGCTCGCGAGCCACAGTGTGGCCATGAAGTTTCAATCGCACTGTATGTGCGCGCCCGCATATGGTATTTTGTGGAAGAGCCACACTCAAGGGGCCCCAGTTTGCCGACCACTGGTCTAGGGGGATTGTTGTTTAGTTGCCTAGCAACCTGGGTTTCCCTATTCTAAGGCTACTAGAACATGATTCTGGTGTCACAACTCCAGTATCATACTCTACTTTCCTAAAATACTTTGATAGTGTTTATATGCTTATTGTTCATATACGATGGCTAGGTTAGCTGATGTTCCAGATCAAATATGGTCAACTTTTTGATTCAAAGTTATATACAGAAGCAGTGGAAAATGACTGACCTGCATTATCTTTTAATCTCATCTTATTTTTTCTGGTCTTGTTATTATCTAATGTCTCTTTCCTTTTTTTTCAGCCAGAGTCAGTAATAACTGATAATATATTAATACTTCAGGACCATTATTATCCTTTATTATTGCATTCAATAACTGCATTCTACCTAGATAAATAAAGAAGGTACTAACACAGGAGTAAAAGTTAAAGGACATACCCCAAGGCCATTGGTTACAACATAACTACACTTAAAGGAACAATTCAAGAGATCTCTTGTTAATTTTTGTAGCAAAGCTCCACCAGAACCAAAGGCAATATTTTCAATACTCCATTTTTTTTGCTTCATGCCTTCTACAACCTAGAATATTAAAAAATAAAAACAAAAAGTAAATTGGAAAAGAAATGAGGTAATTTTCCATGAGTCATATTGATGAATAAAGCATCCTAAAGTTGTATTATAACATAGCGAATGATGAAATTAAGAGTAGGCCTATACAAAACTATATCCCACATTTTCTTTTAAAAGCCCCATCTACCCCAAAAAGGACAAACTGAGGGATAAGTGTGGAAGGAATGGATTTCATTCATAGTCCCTGAATTTGTGTTGTTGTCATCATTGTAACTGTGGTAAGGGTTGGGGAAATGAGAGAAAAAATTGGCTATACATGCTATTGAAAAGGTTACTTGAGAAAACTTATCTGTCTCCTGTAGTTGTTGCCCAGATACCAGTAGCACAAGCAATGGGACCTAGACATTTGCCCAAATTTCTACACTCTAGGAATGACTAATCACTCCTAATAAATCTCAATACATGTTATCACATGTCATAATGCATATCATATCTAATGGGGCATTTAAATAAAGCAACAGATATTGGTGGTAAAACAATATAAAATACTCTCTCCTACATATCATTCAGACATTGGCAGAGTCATTTTACTCTGGCTAGAACTCCAGTGCCCTAAGCAAAATTATGAATAGACTAGGCCAGTGGTTCCCAAACTTATTTGGCCTACTGCCCCCTTTCCAGAAAAAATATTACTCAGCCCCTGGAAATTAATTTTTTTAAAATTTTAATAGCAGTTACTCATCGCCCCTAAATGCACCTGTGGCCATCACCGCCCCCCTGGATCGCTGCAGTGCCTACCAGGGAGCGGTAGCGCCCACTTTGGGAATCACTGGACTAGGCATTCATTTATCATTGGATCACTTTTGGCAGAATGATGATCTACAAGCCAGAGAGACCTGAATGAACATATAGTTCTGGCAGCTAAAGTAGTTTTTTCAAGTGACACATAATTTTAAAGTTATATTAATTTATTAAGCTACATTATTATTGTCATTTATATTTCTTTTTCCTAAGTAGGATTTATTTACCTAGCATGTCTATTTGTGATAGAAGGGTGCAAGTGCAATTTAATTTCATGAGATGAGTCAAAAGGAAGTATTGGAAAATCCGGTTCCATTTTACTGAAATAGAACTTTCAGAAACGATTAGAAAACCATAAGCAAAGTTAATAGTTTTATGTAAATCATTAATATAAATTCGCCATATTCCCCTCAAATACTAAGAGTCTTGATCTGACATCTATTATTTTCAACTCTGAATGATAAAAGTATATAAACTCTAAGGACCTTCAACTTTTAACAATCTCACATTTAAAAAGGCAGACTTTTTCCTTAAATCCCAACCATCAAAATCTACTGCTATATGTCAGGAATCACTATGAAAACATACACAATTTATTTCAAAACGATTCCTTAGGCTATACATAAACTCAGTCTCATGAATTACTATATCAGAACCCAACAGTATCCAAAGGTTCTGGATTCAGATTTTTCATTAAAATATCTGTGAACAAAGTATAACTAAAACAATAATAAAATCCTTATAAAATAATACAAAATTAAGACATATTCCAAAAGAGTGAATTTCAATATGGGAGAAATGCAACGAATAGAAAAGAAACAGATAGATGGAGGATAAGGTGGTTTAGTTAAAAACGCATCACCCTAGCCAGTGAGCAGTGGTTAGAGCACTGGCCAGAGCACCCAAGGGTCTTGAGTTCCATTCCAGATCAACGGCATGTACCTGGGTTGCAGGTTCAATCCCTGGCATACGGGAGGCAACCAATCAATGTGTCTCTCACATTGATGTTTCTGTTTCTCTCTCCCTCTCCCTCCCTCCCTCCCACTCTCTAGAAAATCAATGGGAAAAATATCGAGTGAGGATTAACAAGAAAAAATAGAGAAAATTGTTTCAGACCTGTCACATGATTTTAGATATGCCTCAGAAGCGTAAGAATGAAGAAATTACAAAGAACAGTAATCACACAGTATCTGTATTTCTGGCCCAGTTACTTTAAGATATTCTTCCCATACAGCTGCACCAGAAGTTATAAAATTTAGAAAATTTGGAGTTAAAATTTAAGTGAATCATAAGAGTACAGGAAATTACAGAATTAGGGAAAAAATACTACTTAAAAATATTTACACATACAGTCAAGCAGAAGGAAATCTGACTAGACATAAACTGACAAAATTTAACTGTTAGACACTACTCTTCATTTCCTATTTTATGCCCATGGTATTTAGATAAAAAATTAATGTGCTCCTATCATTAAGATTTATATCAATCCTCTATTTAGTCTCTGGACCAAAGTTATGAGGGTCAAGGGAAATTTCCTAGAAAGGAAAAGGGTTCTAGGGAAAGAACAGTAGGATAGCTACAGTGAAAGAAGTGTTTCAACTATGTGGGACTTCATTTGCAAAGAAATCTTCTTACCAATTTTGAGAATTTGGTATCATTTTAACATCATTAATGAACTACTCCAATAGGTCTCCATGATAATCAAGATAACTGAACAGCTAACTGAGATACAGAGAAGACAATCTGTTTGTCCAACACAAGAGAATTTTGCCTCTTTTGTAAATAAGCAGATTGATTTTGGTACACACAAACTAGGACATGCTTAACATTGTAAACTTCATGGGGAAGACTGACGGTGAATAACAGTACAGAAAGTGAGGCTGACAGTCAATAAAAGAAGCCAGTTGTTTGAAATTAAACAGATTTTTCATTTTGTCAAAATTAGGCATCTAATTTAGTACATATACAAAGCAAAACCACTAGATGGATTATTCTTTCTCTTTCTAAAAACTTATTTGACCCACCTCCAATATGAAGAAAGCAGCTGTCACCCTTTAGGTAAATCAACACATGAGTACATTCGCATTACACAAACTTCATTCTCTGATCATTCTGTTGAAAGTTTCACCAATGCAAAAGAGTATTTGTCTCAATATCTGACTCCTTATTCATAGTTAAAAAGGGCAAAGAAAGAAAAGCCAAGAGCTTCAGTTTTTTAAAGGAAGTCAAAGTAACAAGTTGGATTGAACAAACCAACTTAAAGAGCTCACTGACCAGAACAAGGAAGGGCAGATATAAGCAGTGGGAAGAGCACAATACAATGGGGTTTCTGAAACTGGTACAGAACCCTGTCCATGTTTCTTCATCTGAAAGGGGAATAAAGATATCTGCTAAACTGCCTAAAATGAGGGATTGGGTAATAGTTCTTAACTGATACCCAGATAAGAAACCTTTAATTCAGCTGAGCTAAGGAGACAACAGCAACTACATATGACAGCTGGGATTTCTATAATCCTCCTCCTCACTGCAAACTTTTCTTCCTTCTCTTTCACATGAAAGCTCCTAATGTCCCAACATCAAATGTCTTAGGGGAGTTTGGGGGAGTTTCCACTTTTCTTAGGCAAAGCAGTTTGGGAGAGTTGGTGGAAGAAACCTCATTTCTGTTATTCCAAGAAATCTATTTCAGATACCTCCTTTTGGAACATTAAATGCATATTACCACAGAAATACTGTTTTGTTATATTCAGTAGTTCTTACTTTTAAGTGAACCTTTGGAAAACTATAATTTGGGTACTGATCTCACTCTAACCACACACCAAACTCTTTCAAACCGAAAAATCTTTGATAACTTGTGTTAGACAAGTGGATGCCACTGGAGATTGATATACATTAAAATGTCAGTGGCTACAATGGCAGACAGTCCATATTATGAAATTGGTGATATCCTTAAGTTTTATGGAGTATATTTTATGAAATTATAGCTCTTTAGGAGCTTATTTGAGAATAAAAGAAGCAAAAGTTTTAATGTAATGCACTATGTTGCTAAATCTAACAAAAATAGTGTTAACAGTTGAGGCTTAATTTAGAAGAGCTAACAAACCATTTTATAAATTTGAAAAAGCACATATTAATACCATTTGTGTTTCACATTGTTAGAGTATGTGAAGCTCCATTCTATTAAAACTGGGACCTATATGAGCAGTGTCAAGACTTGTTTTAATACAAGAAACATTCCTTGACTGGCAATTTCTTATTTCTTAATGATATTTTTCTTTCTTTTTTGTTAATCCTCACCTGGGGATAGTTTTTCCATTGCTTTCAAAGAGTGAAAGGGAGAGATGGGGGAAGAGAGAAAGAAACATTGGTGTGAGAGAAACACATGAATTGGTTGCCTCCCACATGTGCCCCAAGTGGAGGCATGGTGTGAACCTGCAACCCAGGTACCTGCCCTTGACTGGGAACAGAACCTGTGACCCATTAGTGCTTGAGGGCCGACACTCTAACCACTGAGCATACCAGCCAGGGCAGTGATATTTCTTTAGGTTCGTCATCCAGGGTGGCCATTGAGGACTAGGAATATAAATGAGGTTTCATTGGTACATTTATACCTTAACCAGTTAACTGCCATGACATTTTGAATTTAATTTAAAAAGGTCCGCCGCTTGTGTCTATAGACACTGATGTCGTACTAATGGTTACTATTATTTACAAAATTTAAGCAATTAACAGAAAAGACATACAGTATATATTATTATAAACACTTATGAAAAGAATCACAATTGTGCTGAAATTATGTGTTTATCAAACTAATAAAAAGGAACTTAATTATTATTACCTTATTGGAACACTTAGTATAAACACATACCTCTTGTAAGGTATTAATATCTACTCCATCCCCTTGAATAACTCGAAGATAAGGTGGCAGCAACTTGTAGCCCTTTGAGTTCTCAGTAATAGGAAATTTCTTACCTAAAATATCCAAAACCTGTATAGAAAAATACCCAACAAAAAAATAACTAAAAGTGAAAATGAAAAACAAGTGTAAAAGCTTTCCAAAGTTAGTGACTTTGCTTTGCTAGATAATCTTGAGAATATAATCAACTTACTTAAAAAATTTTACAGCACTATGCATAAACCTTCTAAAATTTAGTCTCAATTCCTTTTATGTTATAGACATAAAACATATTTTCTATCAAGTCATTTTATACAGTAAAGTGGCTCAAACCATAAGATTTTCCTTCTCTCAAATTATATAGATTCAGGAAAAGAATCTACCTCAAACATCTTATCATTAGGAGCTTAAAACAGTAAATACAGTAATAGTTTTAAAAGGTATATAAAACACCACTTATCATGATTATACTTTTGATTTTCATTTATTCTGCTTGTGCCCAATAGTTTTGATTTAATTTTGACAAAACAAATATAAATCTATTTGAATTAAACAAATATAAATCTATTTGAATTGAAACTCATATAACCCAGTTTTCCTGAAGTTCCCCTCACTTAAAGATGACACCCATTTTTTAAGCCAAATTGCATAATATGTGAATCATACCACTCATTCATTAACTACTAAAAGTTTTATAGCAGCTAAAATACCTAAACATTGATTTAACTTTGAAAGTTTGGCCAGAGATTCAAAAGACCTATCAGAAAGCTTGGCCAGAGATTCAAAAGACCTATCAGAGAATTTTTCTCTGCAACAATCATTCCCTTTTCCTAAATAAATTGATTTAAGATTCTAACAATGCATAGATTCCATATTGATGAGTTAGGTTATTTTTAAAACTAGGTCTACACATTTTTTTATTGGGTAACAGGTAAAACATGAAACCTGTTAAGTTTGCTAAAACCAGATCTGTAAATATTTCAGGCTAAGATAAGACTTTAAGATTGGCCCATTATTAATAGGATAGGAAAAGACTTCCTTGATTCTATATCCCCCTTTCTTAAGGGTATTTTATCATCTAATTATTAGATGGGAAACTGTGGTAAAGTGAGAAGGTGACAATGGATACTTGGCTTATTTTACATGTTGTGTGACCTTGAGCAAGTTACTTTAACCTCTCTATCTAAATCTGTCTGTCTATAAAAAAAGAGAATGTAGTATTTATCAGAGTTTTCATAGAGATTAAGTGACACAGCTTAAGTAAAGCATCTAACACAGTATTTTTCTAGTAGGAGGGATCAAATAACCTGCTCTTAGTTAGTACTTTTCAAAGAAGGCAAACCAAGTCCTGAACACTAAACATAGACAATACTGCTACGTTGATGATCGAAGTATTTTCAAATACTGCTACTTGAAAAGTATTTCTAATATTTTTTTACCACCTCACCTTGCACATGTTTCTTTTGCACTAAGAATTTCAAAATTATAGCAACAAACCATAAACTTGGTAACCAAATGACAGGATTCGTTAAAATGGTAATGCTATCAATTAATTTTGAAAGTAAGCAGAAAATATCAACAGTACTTAATTGTTTATTTGACAGTATATATAAATAACCCATAACTAAGGGTATCCTTTCTGTTATTGTGTGACCTTGGGCAAATCTATTACTCTCTCTGGGCTGCAACTCTAAAGTAAGAGCTAAGATAACTCTGAAATGGTATGTGTATAAATGTAATTAAAAGTAGTGTTGCCCTAACTGGTTTGGCTCAGTGGATAGAGCGTCGGCCTGCGGATGCAAGGGTCCCAGGTTTGATTCCGGTCAAGGGCATGTACCTTGGTTGCGGGCACGTACCCAGTAGGGCCTGTGCAGGAGGCAGCTGATCGATGTTTCTCTCTCATTGATGTTTCTAACTCTCTATCCCTCTCCCTTCCTCTCTGTAAAAAATCAATAAAATATATTTAAAAAAATAAATAAAAGTAGTGTTGATGCAGCTGGTCGATAGTATTTTAATAATCAAGTTATGTATTAAAATTTACCTTTAATACAGTGTCAAGAGGATTTCCAGAATCAGGTCTGATTATTAGTGGTGCCTCTGAACTTCTTGATACTATTAAATGTCTTAGATCTTCACCCCATATTTTCTCACACGCATTATAAATGTCATAACTATCGCTGACCACAGATACAGGCACTGATGAAAACTGTGTTACTATATGTTCAAAAGCATCTTTTTCATGGTCTTTCCCCCAAGCTGTTATGGTACTAGAAAACAAAATGAAAATACAGATTTACTCAGGCAGACACATTACCTATTCCTGAATCATATCTCATGATTACTATACTATATCATCAACACTGCAGAAAAAGTGAGTGATTTAGTTTAATGAATGCACACCAGAGGGTTAACTGAATAGCTCAGCCAAACCACCCCTCATATAATTTTTTTAAAGACTTAAAGTAATATCACTCCTCTCCAGTAATTATTTTAGCTTTCAAGTCCTATTGAACTTTTTTGGGGGTATTTAAACTTAGTGAACTATAAAGCACTTACTAAATGCACTTTATTTGTTATGTCAAGATGTTAGAAAGAATGAACACATGCTCCCACCATTTGTTAGGCAATGTAAACACTTGGCTCCCTCCTGTGAATTTTCAAAACCATGTACCAATAATAGTAGGCATATATTTTATCTTTTTCACCTTTCAAATTCTTACACTTAAAGGCAATTACTTAAACTATACTGTAGATACATACAGTCAACTAACTCTTGTTATATCTTCATGGCTAGTAATTGTCATTTATTTCATTTATAGGTTATCCACTAATTAACATATATCCAGGGAATAAGAATTTTAATATTTAGTTTGAGCAAAACATAATTTAGGTGGAAAATAAAGTGTGAGAGTTTCTATGAGTGACTTTTACAATGTCCTCAATAATGGTTCTTCTTATTGAATAGATTAATATTATATAATTTAAGAACCTGCTGGTTTCCTAATATAGGGGTGGGCAAAAGTAGGTTAATAATAATAATAAATTTTTAAATAATAAATATAACAATAATTAATAAATAATACAAGGATAAACTGTTTTCAGTACTCGCAACTGTAAACCTACTTTTGTCCACTCCTGTATATAATTTTTAAAATTCTTAGAATAATGAATTTGAAAATTGCCATTTTCTCATGCCAAGCAATTTTTCTTCACTAATTTTCTAGTCTTTGCCTCTACCCCATTTTTTGTAAGTAAAGTAATGAAAAATAAGACATCTCATTCACTATGAAACCCCACGTAGGTAAACATTTATCTCAAAACTTTTTGAAGAGTCATACGAATTTAGGTTTGAAATTGTCATTTTATTTTTCCTTTTTTTCTAAAGGATTAGAGTAGCCAACTTTTCCCGTGCTGTCAATGGTATGCTGGGGATAGCAGAGTATGTACAATTCAGGGTTAGAGAGACTACTCTTGTCTGAAATGGAAAGAGAGTCTATTTATATAGTGAACACTCTTCTAAACTATAAAGGCTACCAGCAGCTATGCCGCTAACTCTCTAACTCACTCAAGCAACTGCAGGCTATGGGAAAATTAGGACATGATGAAAAAAAGCCCCTTCTTCATATCAAGAATTGCTACTGTCCCCTATAAAAGAGAGACAATTAAGAGCAAAGAATACCAGTACAGTGGGGCCTTGACTTACGAGTGTCCCGACTAACGAGTATTTTGAGATACCAGCTGTCTCTCGGCTGATTTTTTGCATTGAGTTGATAAAGTAATTTGAGTTAACGAGCTCCTTAACGAGCTTGGTCTCGGAATGAATTAAACTCGTAAGTCAATATTTATGGAGATCATAAATATTTATTCAATGAATTCTACTCATGCCAATATTCCAATTTCCAGTATCAAATTAGATAACTTTCCAAAGTTTGAGGGAAAAGTTATATAACTGAATATTTCTAAATCCAGGTTCATATATTCTTTAAGAAAATATTTATAAGAATAATGGTGGTGCTATAAAATTTAGAGTTTTCTTATTTTAAAATTATTTTAGATGTTAGCTTATTTATTCTCAATGACTTCTGATATTAAAGATGTAAAATTTTAGCTCCTCCTTTTATTTGGTTGGATGAACTGAAAAACAGAGAGGTAAATGCCTTGCCCAAGGCCACCCAAGGTGTCAGCTATAAAGTTCTATTCACTATACTATGCTGTTGTTTAAGACTTGTCTATTTAAGGACATCCTTCTACATTAAGGAATCGAACACTTACAAATGTAGTATTATGTGACTTTAAAGTAAATGGATTTTTACCTTTTTATCATGAAAGCCCTAAAGAAGATACTATCTTTATTCTCAGATTTATAGTACCATAAAACCACTAGTTAAGAGTCTAATACATGGATACCACATTAAGTTTTAAAAGCTGTACATACATCTAAGTCTGAAATAAAAATACTGTAACCCTAAAACCATTATCTGTTGATAAATTTTCCCAGTTTCACTAGTCTTAAATGTGACATTCAATAAGGCCCTACTAATACAGCTATTCTCATAAATGTTAGTTGAATCTACACTCTACGTGGTCCCAATTCCAATCATTAAGTTCTGGCAATTTCATTTCCCAAGCCATTACTCATGTTTAGCTGCATCTTTCCATTTATTTAGACACTTGATTTTGAACCTTGTCATCTCTCAAAACTGCTGCAATAGCTTTACGATAGCCTCCTACCTTTTCGTTTCTCTTTTCCATATCAGAAGATAACCTGTTAACAAAATAATGTTTCTATAATAATTCTCTGACATCACTTCTTTGCTAAAAAACTTCAATGTCCACTTCCACTCGAAAATCTGAGGGCCTTCACTAACCTGTCTTCCCAGTTTACCCTATGTTCCCTAATGTTTCTATATTTTACCTCTGATTCCCTAAACACATTGTCTCCTCTTTCATTCTTGTTCTTTTAGGACAATGCCTGACACATGATGGGTAAACAGTAAATATTCACTTAGAGAATGAGTGATCCCCATGACTGCCATTAAATGTTACCATTCCTTCAAAAAGTCAAGATTTCACATCCCATCTCTATAAAACCTTTTTTGACCCTGCCAGTGGAATGCAATCCTTCCTTTCCTTCCCTTGCACCACTAGAGCACTTTAATTATACCTCTTTAAAAACACTTAATCAACAGAGCTAAATGTTGCTAGTGTACTATTTTACCCTAAAGACAGAGTTAGTATTTTATCTTTCTATTCCTCATAGCACTAAGTAGATTGCCTTTATAACAATCTCACCTTTTGCATCATATAAAACAAGTGCTTAATAAATATCAACTATTTTTTTAAAAGCTCAGTTTAGCCCTAACCGGTTTGGCTCAGTGGATAGAGCGTCAGCCTGCGGACTCAAAGGTCCCAGGTTCAATTCCGGTCGAGGGCATGTACCTTGGTTAAGGGCACATCCCCAGTGGGGAGTGTGCAGGAGGCACCTGATCGATCTTTCTCTCATCGACGTTTCTGGCTCTCTATCCCTCTCCCTTCCTCTCTGTAGAAAACCAATAAAATATATTTAAAAAAAATAAAAATAAAAAAAATAAAAGCTCAGTTTATCCTAAACTTACTACTGGTTTTGGCACCCTGAAATATTCAAGTTTAAGTAGGACTTAAGAAACCACCTCAAAGAGTAAATACATTTTATTAAAAGAACCAGATAAGGTTCGACCTGTTTTAAAAACAAGTTAACTCTAGGATCAGAGCAGCTGCTGCCTAGATTATAATTGCCTTCTAGTTCAACTTCAGATGGTTTAGTAAGATCACATAGGAAGCATAAGAAGAATCTGAACTCTCTTCCTTTCATCAAAAGAGCTTACTAGCTCTGCTACAATTGAGGATACCGGCTCCAAATGACGATTTCCATGGCAAATATAGCTGGAGGTCATGTAGAGCAGGGAGAGGGGAAAAAGTGACCAGGTTTTACAGTGAGTAGATGTAATACAATACATAAAATCCATCTGCATATGCAACAGAGCAGTTGAAAAGTCCTTAAAAAAACACACACAGCCCACCTATATGGCAATACAGTGGGGCCTTGATTTATGAGTGTCCCGACTAACGAGTTTTTTGAGATACCAGCTGTCTCTCGGCTGATTTTTTGCACTGAGTTAACGAGCTCGGTCTCGGAACAAATTAAACTCGTAAGTCAAGGCCCCACTGTATAGCAGTTTAAAAAGCTCTTATATTGTTTCTATTAGAATGGTTAAAAGTTCTCTAGGTCCCTGATACTAGTCTTTACACAAAGTATCAATAATAAATTTGTATTGCTTTAGTTCATGAAGATTTACTGGAATACATGGCTTTGTAACTAAGCAAAACATCACTAAATTACAAATACAAGAGAGAAAACTTAGTAATTATAGAAAATAAATGTTTAGATAATAAAAGAATGGAAACAATTTTACCTGTGTTCTGCTGCTGGAATAGAATAGCCTGGAACAGGATCTTTCGTTCCATAGTATTTTTTAATTAAAGCAATTCCTGCTACTGTATCTGTTCCTTTGAAGTTAACCAAATGAGCAGACGCTCCTATGCCAGCAGTCTGGAAAATAAACCATGAACCAAAATCCAAAAAAGAAAAAGACCCATATTTGACATAGCTCCCAAAGAATTATTGTCTTCCATTATTCTTAGAAAGGTATTTATTATCAGAGATAATAGTTATATGACAAACATCCAGTTTTTTTTAGTACTTAAGGATTCAACTGTTAACTTCTCAAAGAGTATTTAATAGGGCCTACCCCCATTTCCCATCACTCTTTTTCCTTACTCTGCCTAATGCTTCTCTGTAGCATTATCTGGCATCTGCTATATTTATTATGTCTGTCTATCAGTCCACCTACCCATCCATCTAATATATAAAGGATGGAAACATTATTTGAAGGCTATCTTCCATGTACTTTGAACAGAGTCTAACATACAGTAGGTACTTAATCTGTTGACTAAATCTCTGGAACTTCAAAATGTTGCCTATGTAGAACCAACACTGATCCCATAACTTCCTAGAATGCTTATAATGGTAATCTATTGACAATCTACATTTTATTCAATGAGGTTCATTTCAGTTTCTTACCTCTTGGGAAGAGACTCCTCTGTAGCCAAAATCATGCAACTTGTATTCCAGACCAACTAAGTTACCAGATGTTTCTAATAAATATTTGGCCAATATTTTCTTCTGCTCTCTAGAATTTGTGGCCACAGTGATTGGATACCAGGACTGAACAAGAATAGTCTGCAGTAATAAAATTAACCACAAATATTAATACATAAAATATTGGGTTCTTTCTGAGGAAAATCCTAGCTTTCTCCGGAGGTATGTTCTGGACTTCCATACTACCGGAAATGCAATTTAGACATTTCAACTGTATAACAGATTGCTGACATGAGCATTCCAGATACAGTGCATAGCTCGGCTCTCAAATCAGCAACACGAAGGGAAAGCACACCAGGCCCTAACAGTTGAGAATGTCACATTTCTCTCCAAAGCTCCAACGAAGCAAGTAATAGACTGTGATGAAGGACCAACTTTTAAAAAGATTTTCAATCTGTCATGGAGCAATTATTTATGAAATACACACACGCTTGATTGGTGGGGCAATTATCATAAGTTTCTAAATGCTTATCCTTAATTTCTGTATTTAATGTGAACCTGCATCAAATAATTCATGGACCAGCATTGGTCCATGGACTATACCTTGAATAGTATGGGCCTAAGGTTATTCATTTACTCCTCTAGGTCGACTTGGATTTAATTTTTCCTTGGATCTAATATGACTATTGGTAGGTTATATATTTGAAATACTTTTGCGTAGCACTAGAGAATTTTATTCACTAAAGTTATGCTTTATGCCCTTGGCTTTTATCAAAAGTCATTATAGAAGGCCACATGAAACATTTCTGCATATGTTATAAAACTGTGAGGCCACTGTCTATTTTTAACTTATACCTATTATATAAATTCCCAAATGAGGACAAGGAAGAATTGCAAGGTTCCTAATTTCTTATAAGAACTGTACCTTGGTTTCTTTTTTTTCCTTGGCTGCCAGGAAACTCTTAAGTCTGATGCTTAATCATGGCAACCATATCAATTATTATGGCTTGGGAATTCATTCCTTCTCCATAATAGTATCATAATTTTCCATTTTTATTTTATAAACCAGAGAGTCTATTATTAGAAGCAGCCTCAAATCTGTTTTAGAAAGACCTAAGATGACAACAATGTCTGAGCTCAATCAAAAAGCTATTTAACACATTAAGCGCCAAGCCTGTTTTGTCTTCCTTTCCATTTAGCCTGTGATATCCGATTCACTGATATGCTGGCAACATCAGTGACTGACATGGCACTTAATGTGTTAATGAAAAAAAAAAAAAGGCTATTTAATGAATACAATTTTACAAAACTAGCTCTTATTGATACCAGTTAAGTGATCAATAAATAAAATAAGTAAAAACAAAAGATTTAACCTTGGACTTCCCCTCAGTCACCTAAAAAGAAAAAACAAAAAACTGTAGCATTAGACTTCTATGACTGATTAATGTGGCCCCAAATCTCTGCAGCTCCTTTCAAGAGATGGGATGTTTCTTCATCCTTTGATTCTGGGCTGTCCTTTTAATTTGCTTTTAACCAACAGAATGTGGTATAAGCCATACTGTATGACTTTCAAGGTACTGTTTCAAGAGGTTTAACAGCACTCATTCCCCTAGATCCCTGAGACTACAATGTTGTGAAGGAGCCGAAGTTATTGAAGCTCAGCAGTCCCTGCTATCTCAATGAGGCCCTAGACATGGGAGTGAGGCCATTTAGACTGCCCAGTCCTAGCTGAACCCTTAACTCAATACAGACACGAAAGTCCAAGAGAGAGCAGCAGAGAACCATCTAGTCAACCACAGAATCATGTGAATAGCTATTTTATTTTGTGGTAGTTTGTTAAGTAACATTAGAAAACTAATTTAAACTCTATAACCAATCACCTCTAATCTCTATCCACTCTTTTTGCTTCTCTGACTTACTTTTCATACCACTGGTTATCATTCTAAAGCAAAAGTTTTATTTAGGTTGTGTCATTCCTTAAAATCCTTTAACTACTGTCCATAGGGGAAACACACCAATTCATACAGAAATTGGGATTCCTATAATCTTGTCTTGTTGATCTCCTACTATATTTCCCACTGCAGTGCTCCCCTTTGAGCTATTTGCCATTCTAAAAATACTGTGTCATTTCCTCAGCTCTCCCTCTCCCTTATTAAAGCTTATTTATTTTTTCTATTTCAGATTCCTTAGATGGGATTACCTATTTTTCTGCTACCAATTTAGTATTCTTTCTTATGTTAGTGGTTAGTTAAGATGAATTGCTCCTCCCCCAAAGGCCCTTTACTTACTCTAATTTCTGTGCCCACCATTTTTTTTGTACATAGCTGGTACTCAATGTTCATCTGTTGATTTAATTCAATTAACTCTCACATTTTAATTTAACTTAGATTGGTATTATCTAGGAGTATGAGAAAGATAAAACAATGTGAACGACTCTAGTTGAGTTATAAAGGTAGAAGATTGACCTTACCCCTCGAAAAATGCCAGGGAAGGAAGGAAATAACTATCAGACACAGTGATCCTTCACATCACCATTTCCTTTCCATAGTCCAACAAAATCAGCTTAAATTATACTCTTAATAAAATCAGTCCCCTTTAAAAAAGATCACTGTAGGTGTAAGCAAGGGAAAAAAAAGGCAAGTTAGTTTGGGTTAATCCAAGGTCTAATAAAGTAGGCCTTTTTGGAACTTTTCCAAAACAGCAATTTGCCCACACAAATCAAGGTTAAATTTTCAGCTGAAAACTAAGTCTAAAGTAAATGAACCTGCAAATTTCACTTAAGATGTGTTTATTATAATGTTACTGTGCAGGATAAAGAATTTTAAAGAATGAAAAATGGTGTGTTATAACAGAAGGGACTAAACCTACTCTAGTGTAATAGTTCATTCAACTCTCAGGGTGCAATTTCCCCATCTGTAAAATGAGGGCTATTTGATTAATGTAATGATTTTTCAAGTCATCTTTTAACAGCAAAAGGTTTTGTTTTGTTTTTCTGGTTGAAAGAGACAGTTAAGTTTAGCCTAATATGTTCAATCCTTAGTCCCTCCGAAGTCTGAGAGTCCCCTCTTAAATGTTTTAAAATTTGATCTGAGGACTAAAATTTCTTCTAGCACTAATATTGAAACTGATAAAGCAATTCAATAATTTTAGTGGGTTTTAAAGGTCAGTATATGGGGAATAACAGTGTATGGTTAATAACAATGGAAGAATGTTATTAATAGCTTTGACCATAAATTGGAAGGAGCCTTATTTAGTACTATTATTTTAAATATTCTAAATCAAGAATTACCTGAAAATCTTCAATTTACAAATAAAAGGTTTATTGAATTTGGTAACATATTTCATATACAAGGTGGTAAACTTGGGTTAGGGATGAGTAAAAATAGGATGAACCTCCTCTAACCCTACATAAAAGCCCAAAAAGAATGCAGAGTTACCATGAAAAAGTCTCTTCTAGAGACCTGTTATTGAGAGTAAACACATTGTTTTTTAAAGCATGGATCAATCAGAAACTACAATAAGGGACTGTCAGACCATGTTTTTTGTGCCTAGATAAAAATACCTAAAATTATTTAAAATCCTATATATAATAAAAACCTAATATGCTAAGTGTCTAAAATTATTTAAAATCCTATATATAATAAAAACCTAATATGCTAAGTGTCCAGTCGTCCATTCCACCAATCAAAGCACCACCAGGGGGCAGACCGTCGACTGGTCAACCAGTCGCTATGACATGCATTGACCACCAGGAGGCAGACCGTCAACTGGTCAACCAGTCGCTATGACATGCACTGACCACCAGGAGGCAGACGCTCTGACCGGTAGGTTAGTTTGCTGCTGGAGTCTGGCCAATTGGGACTGAGTGAGATGGGCCGGACACGCCCTGGAGCCCTCCCGCGATCCCTCCCCAGCCCCAGTCCCTTCCTGGCCCCGATCATGCACCGGTGGGGTTCCTCGGCCTAGCCTGTGCCCTCTCGCAATCCGGGACCCCTCGGGGGATGTTGGAGAGCCGGTTTCAGCCTGATCCTGCAGGTCAGGCCAAGGGACCCCAATGGTGCACAAATTCGTGCACTGGGCCTCTAGTAATATATATTAGGATAGAAGGTAAACTTGATTTAAGTTATTTCAGGTTATGAGCAAATAAAAACAAGGAACTATGTACTTTTTCTTCAAAATCTAAGTCTCATATTGGATTTTACATTTAATAATTGTTAAATTTAAAATATTTATATATTTGCTAACAAACTAGTGCTCTAAGATGTCTATATATAAATTTTTTACTTTATTTTTTTTAGTGAAATAAACCAAAACAATAATGATTAAAACAAGTTTATTTTTTAAGGCTATGTTTTTTCACTTTGTGAAGAGAATAAAAACGTACATGAAGTCCATAAATATCTGCTTTATGGAAGTTCAATTAAACATAAGGGAATAGTACTTATTGATTAAATCCTCAATCAGGAAACCAGAAAGAAAAAAATTGAGAAAAGGTTATCCACAGATGATGATTTTCACAATAAGATTTATCTATTTAGGATCTTTTGGCATCAGTGAAGGTAAAATGACTAGATTATGTGATTAAGAACTCCTCCACTGTTGTGTTTTCACAATACTATCACCTTAAAATAAAATATTTGCCAGTACAAATACTATAACAATTATACAAAACTAATAAGGAGATAAATGTTCTTTTACTTTGAGTTCATTAATTCAAAGTTTTAAGACATAGCAGTGAACTGTTTAAAACTTGCATTTTAGTTAATTGAACATTTTTTGAGCCCATTAGTCTATTATTAGTTGATAGCTCATTAAGAATCTGATATGAAAGTTTTAAATTTAGCAAAATTTGTTTAGCAAAATGTTAGCAAAAAATGAATTTCAAACATTCTTAGATGTGTTACTTCTCTAGTTTTTATAAATGAACCTCATATGTATTTTACTATGTAACAACAAATTAGTTTAACCAATAAACTAATAAGATAAAGAATCAGTTCTAAGCACTAAGTAATAACCTCTCAAAAATAAATATGGTATTTCTATAGTCACCTTCCAGAATATTTCCTTTTATAGATAAAATGTAAGTTAAGCTGGTATTGCTTCTTGGCCTTTTAGCTAAGATCAAGTGTAAATTAAGCTGTGAGGAGCTAAGTAGGATTATTAATATCAAAACTATAAGCATGTGAAAAAATATGATTACTTAGGAATAGATAGAAGGAAAACAAACAAATTTTGTAATATAAACTCAGAGCCCATAATGTAGCCTCCTTTTAAGGCTCAGAAATCAAATAAAATAATCAGTGAATCTTGAATGTAGTTAGATGAGAAATATCAGGAGGTAGAGCCTAGGCCCTTAACTAATTAGATAAGAATAGAGAAAGCAGTTATTAAAAATTTGAACAAAAATGCCTTTAGTTTAATTAAAACAGAATTTCTAAAAAAATGCCTTAAATCATTAAAAATATACCTGTGCTGTTCTAATTTTTCTTACGATTGCAACAAATAAGATGGAAGTTAGCTGAGCTTTAAGAGAAATAATTCTTAATAATTTGATTTAGATAAAATCTCAGAACATTAGATTTCACTGCAAGGAACCTTAAAGATTATTTAGTCTAAATGTCATTTTATAGGTGAGGAAATTGAGAATTGTAAAGGTTTATTAAATTGTAGGAGGTGACATCACCTTATTAGTAGCAATTTTTAAACTAGAATCCCAATTGAATGGTTTTTATGTCTTCAATTAATGTAAATAAGAATTAAAAACAAAACAATTTACCTCAACCCAATTTGTAAGCCAATAACACTCTGGATCTGTGTTTTCCACTGTGAAGAGAACATTTCCTCTGGGAATGACAGAGCCCTCAGGAACAGCTTTTACTTCTATTGGGAGATGCCCATCGTATTTCTGGTAAGAGACAATAATGAATTCATTTCATTCAACTGATGACATGCAGTTACCTGTTTTTATAATAAGGTTCTTTACAGTTTACAGAAGCTAAACTTATTGTAATAGAAACTACAATTATAGGTGTTATAATGTTAGTAAGATAGTCAGAATATCCCTATTCTCCTGAAATGAAATTAGCTAACAGCTTAGGCACTGATATCAATTTTTAAATTTCATGTTGCTACAAACATTATTAAAAGATACAGATAATTTCAAATTCATAAGAAGTGTTGTTTCCCCTTCATTCTTTCAAAACAAAATAAAAAAAGAATTCCAACATATTCCAAAAACATGATTTTTCTTCTAAGTAGGTCATTTTCAATAAAAGAAAGGCTAAAGACGGAAAGATGAAATAAGGGAACGTTATTAAAGAGCAAAATAAAATAAAGCAAAATAACACACACACACACACACACACACACACACACACACAGAGAGAGAGAAAAAAGAAAGAAAACAGAGAGAGCTCCCTGCCAGTAGAAGAACCTTAAATAGGTTTTCTCTTTATTCTGGTGTAGACCTGAAACTGTTTTGGTAGTAGATAGTATACTTTCTAGAGCTTTGGCTATCAATATCAAAAGTGCAACAATTCTCTCCAAAATTAGGCTGAGAATATATGTGCTACATAGGATGTTACTAGATATTTAATTATGCCTCCCTACTTTTAAAGCTAAAAGTTGTGGCTAACTTTTGGCTAGGAAGGGAAGTTGTTTCAGATATCTAAGTTTATTTATGTGATTTGGGACAAGGTAACTAGAATTTTAAAAATCTATTTAGCCCGGCAATATAGCTTAGTGGTTGAGCATTGAGCCAGGAACCAAGAAGCCACCGGTTCAATTCCTGGTCAGGGCACATGCCCAGGTTGCAGGCTCAGTCCCCTGTCAGGGAGCATGCAGGAGGCAGCTGATCAATGATCTTCCTCTCTCATCGATGTTTCTATCTCTCTATCTCTCTCCTTTCCTTCCTCTCTCTCTAAAAAATTCAAAAGGTCAAGAAGCAATACCAGCTTAATTTATATTCTAAAATATATTTTTTAAAAATCTGTTTAGCCCGGCTGGTGTTGTTCAGTGGTTGAACGTCAACCTATAAACCAGGAGGTCACAGGTCTATTCCTGGTCAGGGCACATACCCGGATTGCAGACTTGGTCTCTAGTGGGGGGGTGTGCAGAAGCAGCTGATCAATGATTCTCTCTCATCATTGATGTTTCTATTTTCTCTCTCTCTCCCTTCCTCTCTGAAATAAAAATATATTTTAAAAAAATCTGTTTAATGAGAAGCACTGAGGGCCTCAAGATATAGCAGAAAGAATACTGCCTTAGAAGTCTTGGCTTGACCTCAAAAGCAGGTAGGATATCTTGGGCAAGTCTCAGACTTTCCTTATAAAATAGGGTTAGATAAGATTATCTCTAGAGAACCTATGAATCCCTAAAATTCTCTTAACATAAAATCAAAAGATTTATCATCCTGGCCACTGGAAGTTGTATTAATAAGCATAGTACCTAACTTATCTATTAAGATTATACTCACAAAAAAACAAATGGGGTAAGTTTAGGAATTACCCAACAGATTTTACTTAAATATGGAAAAACTACAGTAAAGAGTGCTTACCTGACTTCTTCAAAGATTCTTAAGTAACAACAAGTAAAATTTGATTATTACCAGATAGGCATGAAAGTTAACCCTTTGCACTCCGCTGTCCCCTCTCAGGGGACATCGGAATTCTAGCATATCACTCGGATGTCCCCTCTCAGGGGACATTGCAGTTTATTAGTGATTACGGGGAATTGAGTTATTTCAACGCAACTTTTTGAGACATGCATGTTTCCCTGAAGTTTTATCTTGAAATGGCACAAGAAATTAAATCAAAATATCGTAAAATTACTAAGATATATACAAGAAATGTCAGCGGGGTTTTGTGTCGGGATTAAACAATAAACTACATATTCCCAATGTGGGACAAAGAAAAACGGGGACTGCATTGTGTGTTCTAACAGGAAAACAACTTGGTGGCAGGCGTCAAACCACTTATTACTGTCAAACATGCACTAATCAGCCTGCAATGCATATTGGGGAGTGTTACAAAACTTATCATACTGTACAAAATGATAAACAATAAAATATTGTTTTTTTTTGCAAATATACATTCCTCGATGTCACCCAATTCATATAAGTCCAATATCATTATAATACGTTACTTGGTTCCAAAATTATACTAAATAATACGAGGGTCTGTAAATGCACGTTTCCGCCGCAAAGTAGCTTCGAGTAGCTGGTAGCCAATGTCCAGAATGGTTCGGAGTGCAAAGGGTTAAAATATTTCTAATTATTTTGTGTTTAATAGTCTATAATGAAAAATATATACATTTTTAAGATGCAAATTAGTTAACTAATACTTAACATCACAAGATGCCAATAGATGCCATTCCCAATCTATCTTTGTAATAAAAAACAAGCAAACACCAAAGGACGTTAACTTAATTTCCATGTCTCTGGATACCCAAAGTTTAAGTAATGGTTCCAAACATGCTAGATATATTACAGTACAAAGAATAAAATTCAACTTCATGGATCTGCACCAAACCATTTTAACTATTCAGTAAGGGAAATTTCCTAGAATTATTGTGTAGTGATAGATTCACAGCATCTATTTTCTTAGATAACCTATAATCAAGAAAATAGACCTAAATTTTGAAATTGCCAACTAACCACACCCTTTTTAAATTCGTGTATTTTCAAAGAAAGGGTTAAATCACCTTTCTTAAAAAAAAAGTTATTTAAATTATAGTTCATTTATATTATAACAAATTAGACTTGCTGTAGAGGCTACTAGACACTAATGATTGGCAACCAGAAAAAAAGTTTAACTGTTACCCTTAACTTTTCACAAGAATGTCTAAAGTAGCCATCATACTTAGGTCACAGACAGAAAAGAGTTATAATTATAGTCTAATCTTCTATTCAAACTCCTTTACAAGAAATTTTGAAGTAAATGTAAAACCAAAATAGACCAAAACATGAAACCAGTTTTTACCTCAAGAATGTAGTTCCATCCCTTTTCATTAAATACATCATCTTGGAAATGCTCTTTGTACACCTCTTTGGCTTCCTGGATCTTCTCTTTGGTCACTACTTTACCTAAAAAGATAAACATTTCTTGTTTACATTTCAAAAGACATTCTGTGAACTGTTGAGCTGTCACAAGATTAATGTCTGTAGACTTTTCACCCATTCTATGGATAAAAAAATGAATTTGCAAATGTCTGTAGACTTTTCACCCATTCTATGGATAAAAAAATGAATTTGCACTTTTGTATATATGTTGATTGATTGATTTCAGAGAGGAAGGGAGATAGATAGAAACATCAATGATGAGAATCATCAATTGGCTGCCTCCTGCACACCACATACTGGGGATCAAACCCGCACACCGGGAATGGAACCATGACCTCCTGGTTGATAGGTCTATGTTCAACCACTGAGCACACCAGCCAGGCTGAATTTGCACTTTTAATCACTCAGTCTAAGTGTGTTGATTTCTTATTTGAAAAGTAAGTGTGCAGAAGAAATTATAACATGTATAGTATTTTTTAAATCACAATACTAAAATTAACTTCTAAGAAGATATCTTTTCTAGCTCTATTAATTTCTACACCCTCCAAATTTGAGAGTAAGCCTTTGTACAGATGATTTTCTAGGTGAACCTTCTTACTTTATTCTTAAAAGATATCTTCAGGGCTGATAATCCAATAATTTTCACAATTACTACATTTGCCCCCCAAATATACTTTAAATTTTCTTTATCTGTAAAATGAGGATAAAAAATAGTAGGGTACCTACTTATAAGTCGTGAGGGCTGAATGAGTTATATGAAGCACTTAGAATAATGCTGGCTTGTAACAGGAAATCAATATATTTTTGCTATAATAACTAATATGAAGTTTTTAACCTGTAGAATTGAAGTGTGACATCAGTCTTTTGGTAACTTTCTCAATGTAAGATCACTAGTAAACTCATTTAAAATATCCTGGGAGGTCTTGCTGCAAAAGAAGTACTTTGGATACCAAGTAGGTTTTCAGTAGTATAACATATCTGAACAGTCTAATCTTAAAATTGCCAAGATTATGGAAAAAGGATATTAAATAAAAATTCAACTTAATCTGTATTCAATTTTAAGATTATTTTTTATTTGAAAAGGCTAGAGATGAAATTTTCCAAAATATATAAAACCCTTGGGTACTGTTTTGCCTCCTAGAAATAAAATTACAAAACTGACTAGAAATGGACTTAAGTAAAAAGGCAAAGAAATTGTTTGGGAGATTTTTCTGTTTTAATATGCATTTGAGACTAAGTTCATAGAGATAGTTTTGAAAAATAAGACTTTAAGGTAAAACTGACTAGCATAAAAATATTCTAATTATAATTGCTACCACAATTCAAAATGAGTTCCCAGGCCAATAATAAATCCTTCATTTTGAATTAATGACTAAAGTCTATTAACAAACCAGATTTGCCTCGGAAAATCAGTGACTTAAAAATTTTTTTTAACTTTATTTTTATTGTTGACACTATTACAGATGTCCCCATACCCCCTCCTTTGCCTGCCCCCACCAGACCCCATTTAATGACTTTTCTAGACGTATTCCCAAACTTATTAGTTTCAGAAAATCTTCCTTATATTGAGAACACCAGCACACACAAAATTATAAGATTTAATGTATTACTAATAATATTAGTAAATATTATTCTAAGGTTTTTTAAATTCCAAGACTCCTAAAGTAGTTAAAGCAATTAAATAAATATCAAAATTAAACTATTCAAAATGCTACTTCAGATAATCCTATAAAATAAAAGCTTAGGTGGCATCACACCTTCGCGTGACATCATCACAAGATGGCCACCACAAGATGGCCGGCAGGGGAGGGCAGTTGGAGGCAAACAGGCCAGCAGGGGAGGGCAGTTGTGGGCAATCAGGCCGGCAGGGGAGGGCAGTTGGGGGCGACCAGGCCTGCAGGGGAGGGCAGTTGGGGGTGACCAGACCTGCAGGGGAGGGCAGTTGGGTGCGATCAGGCTGGCAGGGGAGCAGTTAGGCATCAATCAGGCCGGCAGGGGAGTGGTTAGGGGGCAATCAGGCTGGCAGGCAGAAGCGGCTAGGGGCAGGCAGGCAGGTGAGCAGTTAGGAGCCAGCAGTCCCAGATTGTGAGAGGGATGTCCCAGATTGGAGACGGTGCAGGCCAGGCTGAGGGACCACCCCCACCCCCGTGCACAAATTTCATGCACTGGGCCTCTAGAATATAAAATAGGAGAAAAATTATGAAGTTTTATGTAAAAGCATTGTTTTAAATTTATAGGACAAATAATACCTTTTAAGTACTTATTAAGAATGTACTGCAACCCATAAAATACTGTTTCCTCGTATTTCACCTTCCTTATTTTGGAGTTTTCTGTCTTCTTTTCACGGCATTCAAAGTAGGAATAAACTTTGCTTGTGTTGGGTGGGTATTGTTTATAGTGAGTAACCTATAAAAGACAAATACTTGAGTCAGAAAACATGAGAAGAATAGACGATAAATCACAAAGGAAAGGGCTTGAAATTATTTAAAACCAGAGAAATTATGCTTATTTGCAATTGATCAGCTCCTTTTCCTGGCTCTAAAAATAAAAAATAAGAAATACTTATTAAGATACTTTTAATAGTTCAGTATCTTAAATTCAAAACCACAAGAGAGTATTAAATTTTATAAACAAGCAGATGAACTTAAGGAAGTAAAAGGTCTCTATGCTGCACACCTGGTACAGTACAAAGACAGGTATCTTATTTGATCTCAGGGAACAGTTTTCATTCAAGGGAAGAGAGATGTAGCTGCCTAAGGGGGGCCGGGGGAGCGCACATACACGATATAAAAGAATGAGCTGAAAGCAAAATTTGGTCCTATTACTATCTAAATGTAGTGTGTCTGATAAGTCAACAGTCATGATTTCCCAGGACTCTACTTCTTCATCTGTATAATGAGATAATGAGAATGACCTCTTCTGGTCTTCACAGTGACACTGAAAACCTGAATGAAAGCAAAAGCAGCAGCAGCAGCAAAAAAAATATTGTTTTGTAGTCTTTTCTTTTGCTCAAATTACTTCTGAGTTGTGAAAGAAATGCCTATGCAATACATCAAACCCTTATAAGCTTAAAAATATAAAGAGGTATTATCACAAATTTCCATCAAATTGAGTAAAAGTCACTGGTGAAAAATTACCTGTTTTTGTTTCAAGAAAAAATAAAGTGAGTGCTCATTATAATTTGAATTTTATTATATTTCAATGTGGTTAAAACATTTACCAATAAAAAATAACTGGAAGAATAATGTGTATTTATTTGCCCAGTTGAAAGAGTAGTTAATAATGCCTTAATTGGGTGGTGATTCAGGTTAATGATGGAATAAATCTTTGCAGACCAAAGTTCATAGATGACCACTGTAAACATTAACCATTCATCTAAAATGAATATACTCTGTAGAGAGGGAAAAAAAACCCCACAAATTTAAAAAATATTTTAGTTTCCTCTTCAATAAAAGTAACTTGCAAATCTATAAAAATAGTACCTCATGTTCCTTACAGGCAATCTTTATATTAATATGTGGCCTGATTGCCTAAGTCAGGCAACAGAATTAGAACTGTTTCGCTCACATATGATGGATTACCTATATACCACAAGGTATAGGGAGGCCTTATCAATATCTAGAAGTATTTGCTAGTTTCTTTCAGATTAGAACCCAGGGACTGATCCCACTATTAAGTCCAGAGCACTTAAATCAATCTATTAGGCAATTCACTAAAATGCAAAACAACATCTAGCCCAGCCGGTATGGTTCAATGGTTGAGTGTTGACCTAAGAACCAGGAGGTCAGGGTTTAATTCCCAGTCAGGGCACATGCCCAGGTTACAGGCTCGATCTCCAGTAGGGAGCATGCAGGAGGCAGCGGATCGATGTGTCTATCATTGATGTTTCCATCTCTCTCCCTCTCCCATCCTCTCTCTAAAAAGTCAGTAAAAACATTAAAAAACAACATTTATATCTATAACTATACATATATATATATATATATATATATATGAATACCTTAGTAATAAATTATCACTATTTCAATTACTTATAAAACTGATTAAAAAAAGATACCACTAAAAACGTATCTAAGGTGTATATAAAAATGAAAATGTCCAGTTTACAATATAAATAACTCCAAATACTTTAATGGGAATAAGCAGTGGAACAGAAGAAAACTCAATTCTGATGAAGTAAAATATGAATAAGGATCTAGATTGCATCAGGCAAGTTTATAAAAGTCAGATTCATAGTTGTGACTCTCAATAGTTTGACCTTCTTTACAATTCAGATACTTAATGGTGCATCTTTATAAATTTACTTTTTCTATACATATTTAAAAGTATCAAAACACAAATGAATTATTTTCATCTTCTGAGTAGACCAAGCAGTCAAAAGTTAAATGGAAATGTCCCTAAACTATGTAAATCCATCTTGGTCTAAAAGTATATTAAAAATTTTTGATCTTATAGATACAGTTTCAGTTCTTTACTTTGGCTGTGTTCTTTAATTATGGTACTTCAAAACTGTGCATAAATATTCAGAATGTCTCCTCTGGAAAAAAAATGTCATTAAAAACACAAAATTATCTAGGCTGCTAAATTAGAAATGAAGTGACTTCTAAAATCTTCTTTGGAAAAACTTAGAATAGTTTTAGAATTTAGCTAAAGAATTTAAGTCCTCTAAGTAAACTCTCAGGCAATTAAACATGAAACATAATTTACTACTTACCACCTACTATCACCCAATACTTTTACAGAAGAATAAAAGAGTATGTTCAGATCTATTTATGTTGGCATATAACATTGTTTTAAGGGAAAACATTTTATATAGAGCTTCTTAGTAAATATTATTCTAAAAATACAGCCAATGGCTGATTTATAGTAATTCTAGTTTTGCTAGGTTTTCTGCCCTCTTCATTTTACTTCCTGCTAAACTGGTCACTCTGAACTCCTTGAAACCTTCACCAGAAATTGAGATGATATAGCAGTAACTGAAATCAACAGATTATTTTATAAATAGTTCATTCATCCACAAATATACAGGGCAGGGCAAAGTGGGTTTACAGTTGTTCATATGGGAAATAATTCAATAATGAATATGTAATACAAGAATAAATTGTTTCCTGGACTCATAACTGTAAACCTACTTTTGCCCCACCCTGTATATGCTGTATCTACTATATATCAGGCACTGTTTCAGATGTTGAGGACAGAGAAATAAATAGACTAAAGTAGTTTCTATCCTCATAGGGCTAAAGAAGACTGAAAAGTCAGAAAATAATAAACAAGCAAAATAATGTCAGGTTAGGATGAATGCTATGAAAAATGAAAAGAAAATGGTGGGCTAAAGGGAGCCTGGGAGAGTACTTTAAATGGGAGGCCAGAAGGCTTCTCTGAGATGGTGACATGTGAGCAAAACCTAAATGACAAGGAGATATGAAATAACTTGACTCAAGGGACAGAAAAGAATGAAGGTTAGAGTGGTTGGTGCTTAGAGAATGGGGAGGAGGAAGAGGTACATGGTCCTGAAGTCAGAGAGAGATGCAGAGACAAGAACAGGTAAGGCTTACAGGCTACAACAAGGAGCTTGAATTTATATCAAGTGCAAAGGGAAGCCATTAGTATGTTTCAAGCTGGGTGATTTACATTTTACAAGGATCACTTGGCAGTGAGGTGGAGAACGGATTACAGCAGTGGTTCTCAACCTTGGCTGCACATTAGAATCACTTGGGAATCTTTTTAAAATCCTGATTTCTGGGCCTCATCTCTGGAAATTCTGTTACTAATGATGAGGCCCAGAAATCAGGATTTTAAAAAGATTCCCAGGTGATTCTAATGTGCAGCCAAGGTTGAGAACCACTGGACTACAGGGTGACCAAAGTGGAAGAGGGGCATCAGGTGAGAGGCTACTGCTAAAGACTAGGCTAGGTGAGTGAAATGGCTCAATACCTTTGGAGGTAAAGGGAAATTAGGTTGATAGATTAGATCTGGAGAATAAGGAGGGGGAGGAATTAAGGATGTCTCCTAAATTTTGGGTTGAGCACCTGGGTAAATGCTGCCATTTACTGAGATGCGGAAGGCCTTGGAATGAATGGGTAGAGAAATTGAGAGCTCAGTTTAAGAAATGTTAAGCAATACTAACAAAAAGTTTCATAGTATTCAAAATGAAAGTGAACTACAAAAAGAGAACTCAAATCCTTTTATATATTTTATTGATTTCAGAGAGGAAGGGAGAGAGAGAAATAGAAACATCAATGATGAGAGAAAATCATTGATCGGCTGCCTCCTGTACGCCCCCCACTGGGGATCAAGCCCACAACCCAGTCATGTGCCCTTGACCAGAATTGAACCTGGGACCCTTTAGCCTGCAGGCCCATGCTCTATCCACTGAGCCAAACTGGCTAGGGCCAAATCATATTTTTTAAAGCACTGTTTTGACTTAGATTATTAGAGAAAATGGCTCCACAATAACTTTAAAATTATTTACAGATGAAGAGAAAAGAAATCTCTCATAATATCTTCAGCAAACCTTTTCCACTAAAAATGTTTCCTAAACTGGTATGGCCTTCCTGTAGCTAACAGAGCACTACAGTACATAAATATATGTGTCATAAAAAACAGGCACACAGGAAAATGTAGCTTTTAATAAAACTTAATTTCAGTTATGTAACTGATGCATTTCATGAAAAGATAAGCTTCTAAAATTTGTAACCCCAAGCATGACATTTAAAGAGAAGTATGAGAAATATTTAAGCTGCATAAAATAATTCTGTGAGAGCAAAGTCTAACTTGCTCTTGGGTTCTAGATTTCCCACCAGGTTGATTTATCTTTCCAAGAACTTTCCTACCACAGTGGATCACATGACCAAAGACAACTACTACTAACCCACTTTTCCAGTTGTAATTTTTTCACTTCTAACAAGTGATCACAAGCCAACACTTGAACAATGCCATGCACATAAAAGAGCACACGGGGTGACATACCCAAGGTCACAGAGTGAGTTCTGTCACCTCCGTAATATCTAACGGCACCCAGAAGCAGGGGAGTAAACGTCTGGCAGATTTTTCCCATCATTCTTTCCTTCACTAATGTGTGTGTTTCAAATAAAAGTAATGGGGCAGCTATGCATGCAACAGTCCAAGACGCATATAAACTCCCCAGAATTAAAACTGCAGCAGTTCATTGAACTTGTCGTGTTTCACTTTCCATTTCACAGAAATCCCGTGGTGGCCTGAGCGGAGTGAGGAAGGGCAGGTCGGCCTTGGCCAGCACCCAGGGGTTAAAGCTCAGGAGTGATCGGCAGGAGCCCGTGCAGCGGGGCGGAGAAACCCGGGCGGCTGGGGGCACCCGAGTGTCCTCGGGACCGAGCCACGGGCCGGGGCACGCGGCCGGCGCCCCGGGACCCCTGCAGGACCTCGCCCACACGCTCTCCGCAAAGGGGCAGAATCTGCCTGGAACGGCTGAGCCGGGAACCCCCCTTCTCCAACGCCGCTCCTCTCTCCGCCGCCGAGTCCCAGGGGCTGTTACTTAACTGACCGCTCCTCGGGCGAGTCCTCGCCCAGCCCGGCCCGGCGCGGCGCCAAAAGGCCGAGGTCCTGGGTCAGGCGTCCGCTCGGCCCGAGACGCCCCAGCCAGCCGGGCCCGCGCCCGCCGCGCCGACCCGAGCCAGGAGCTCGGAGCCCCGAGCCCAGGGCGCAGGGAGAACCCGCGAGCCGGCAGCGCCGGCCGGGCCCGACTTCAGCCACTTCGCGCGCCCCCCACCCACGCCCCGCCAGGCTCCGGCATCTTGCCGTCCATCCCTCCATCCCTCCTCCATCCACCTCCTTCCCCAGGCGCCGCCAGCTTCACCTGCCCCCGCGCCGCTGCCCGCACCTTCCCTCGGGGCGGCCGGGCGCACGCCCCCAGACCGGCCGCCCCCGACCCCACCGCCCCGCGCTCGCCCCCGGCGCCTCTCCTCTCCCTCACCTGCCCCCGCCCCCGCCTTACCTTGTAGGAGTCGGTGGCCAGGAGGATGTTGAACTCGGCTTCTGCCGCAGCATTCATCTCGGCCGGAGTGGCGACCGCGTACCGGGGGGGCTGCCCAGCGCCGCAGCGAGGAGGGAGGAAAATGGGCTTCACCGCGCTC